GTTACAATTTATGGTCTTTCTACTCATGGCAACTGAAGTACTAGAACTGTATCTAGGAAACATAAACTTTGAATTAAATTTAGGCAAGGGTATTGTGGTTTTACAAAAAACAAGCTATGATTGAATTACTGCTGGAGAAATGATCTCCTATCTTTCCAAAGCAGAGAATGATTTACATACCAATTGATTCAAATAGTATTTCTGGATCTTTAGGCATGAATAGACACATTGCCAACATCCCCACAAAAACAACATACATTGAACTTCCAGATATATAAAAACAAGGTAGCAATGGAAATCATGAGACCAACCAAAACAACATCTGGTTGCTGAAATTTTTAAACAGAAGATGCACCATGAAACCAAAACCTCCCCAATGCCCAGGATTTTATTAAAAGTACAAGCTTAATGCCCAGAAGCCAAGAGGTATTGCTGTAGGAGACATGTCTGGTTTTCCCTTTAACTGACATTCTATTGTTTCTCCAAAGCTGAGATCAGTAGCTCCAGTCAGTGCTCTTGCCAACCTGCTCCTGCTTGCTTAAAACACCCAAACCAGCCACATCTCAAGCTCCCCCTCTGAAACACCTCTGCAGCAGAAGTGGCCAAAAGGTGCAAACTGCAACTGGAAGTCCCTGGGCTGGGGATACAGTCCTCATTGCCCAGATCTCTGCTCAGGTCACACCCAGCTCCCCACGAACCACCACTTCTCGAAGGCATTGAAAAGTGTGGCTGAGGTCTGAGAGACTGAAAATACTGCTGTGTTGTAGAGATTTCTCCCGCTCTACACTGTGTGTACAGCCTCATCTCAGGCAATGAAAAGGTACTCAAGAAATCATTCAAAGTTAGAATGACAACTCTTGGGAAAACTACTGCTTGTGACAGATAATTAAACTTTTATCACCATGTGATCAAAACTAATCAAACAAGGTTCAGGCACACTGACAAGGCTACGTCATCCTTACACTGTGATTCACAGATGTATGTTAGGTCTCATTTCAGTTGACTGCACACAATCATGGCCCTTTGTACTCCTGAAAATTAAATTTATTCCTTTTAATTTATATGAGCATATGGAAATAGGATTGTGACACAAGTGGAAAATAAGTGTTAACCACCCACAGCTAAAGTTCTGTCACATTTTATGCTACTGATGACAACACATTCAGTCAAATAATGGGAGTGACATTTTAATCTATTTCTTCATTAAAAACTAGTATCATTTGCAGCAAGACAGACAAGTATATTTGGCAAAACGTCTGTGTTCTGTAAGCCTCTGCTCATGGAGACAAAAAGGTGGGAAGATGAGAAAGTGGGTAGTGAGAGTCCTGCTATAAGAGACTGGAACAAATTCATCTCCTACCAGGCCTAGAATTTCTACCACAAATGGTAACCCTGGGGTAACATTCCAGGATACTACTCCTGCCACTGGCCTGTTATTTTTCATTTTATTTGTGCCACAAGATGTCCCTCTCACGTTGTCATTTCTTAATATAGTGTATTTATCTGGTACAACAGTTCACGTCTTTTTCCTTTCGACATTATTTCCTCCCACACAGACCTATATCCAAAAGCTTTTACTTTCTCCTCAATATTGTAAATGTCAGTTTCTTAAAATGTTGGTATTATGAAGAACTTCTCCAGTGAGAGACTCAGTAGTTATATTAATCCTTTTTACAAACCTTGTCTGAGAAGTGGCTGTTGTCTCTTTTGCTTTGTATCATGGCTATTTACCTGTGTGCCTTTACACATTTTCCACTCAACACTACTTTCCAGCCACCTATGACTGTCAGGAACATGCAGGGTTTTCCCTTAATACCTGGAGTGAGTCCCCATGCCTCTTCTCCTACCTTTCAGTGGCTGGAAGTCTGGAGATAAGAGCCATAGCCATGTTTGCCAAAGTCCTACCAGGAACAGATGCCTCTCACAGGGATTGTCTAGATCGTTTTACCTAGAGCTTGCTTTCTGTCCCCAGTAGGGACATGACCTTAATTCACTGGTCTGGCTTTCATCCACGCTCCCCACCACGAGCATGGCAATCTGGAGTTGCTAAAAGCTTTATTATTGCACACAGATGGTGTGCAAATTCTCAAAAGTAATTCATGGAAGCACCACAACAGTGAAACTTCCACACCGTGGCAATAACAAAGGCACAGAGAACATAGCCCCAGCGAGTGTTTGCCAAAGAAATGAGGAGCAAGTCATTAATAAATGCTGACACAATGACTAGAGGACAGCCCACCTTGATGCAGAGTTTCAATGCCATTTTTAATGCACAAGTCAAAGTCACGAAGAGACCTCTCCACTGGTCTCTCCACAGGAGACATTTCCTTTCCAATCCCTCAGCAGCCATATCTCAGCAGTAAGCAAAAAACTGTCATGCAACAGAACTGCTGCAACGAAAAATTTTCAGCAGTTCATTTGCAAAAGAAAGCAAAAACCTGAGATCCCCTGAGCCTGCACAGGAAAGCAACCACCCAGAGAAATCCTGGGGTGCTGCATCCAACATCCTGCGCACAAGGGGAAAAAAATCCCTGAAAGAGGCCAGAAGCTTTTGAAACAGCTGTCAACACAGATCCTTATTAATTTGGGACTGTGCTGCCACGTGGGGTCATGAAAAGCCTGGCAGAAATCAAATGCAGCTACAGGAATAGAGGTCAACATTAAGGAGAGAAGGGGCACTGGATTATGAGCACTCACACAGGCTTACTGCATCTCCTGCCTGCACTGAAGAGCAGAGGTTTCACATCAACAACTTGTGCTCCTGCACTACATCACAGCAGTTATTCCCAGATAAACCATCTTCAGTGCATGGTAATGCAAATAATTGCAGGTTTGCAGAGAGGAGTTGGTATCAGTGATATGCAAAACATGGCAAAGCATGACAAGGATGGCAAGGCAATATGAAGTAAGGGGCCCTTGCCTTCACATAATTAACAATTTTTGCCCCAGGCACATTTTCTCTATGCATTGCTGCATATTGACTGTAACTGAGCTGCTATTTTAAGAGCAGTAAAAATTAGTCACATTAGAACTCCAAAATTATCACATTATCTATGAAAGGCATGAAAATAATAAAATTAAGGCCAAAGAGTACTCCAGCATTATTATTCTGTCGGCATATACTTCATATCAAGGGTCTGCAAACGTTGCACTGCTGGATCTTGAATTCATGTTCTCGTCAGCCTCCCAGACAATCTCAGCATTCCTTGCCTGTTCTCCTCTTTAGTACCTCCACACAGCCACTGATAACCCTTTCTGAAACCTTACACTTCTTCCCCTGCCTGCAGACTGAAGAAATCCCAATGCCACTGTGAACCCACCAGACACTTGTGCTCTCAAGCACCAACCTTTGTCCCTTCTACAGGAACAGTCACATCCATTCTCAACATCTTAGTCACCAGAATGCAAATAGGCACACCAAGGAGGCTAATATGACACTTCCAGATTAAAGAAAACTCCATTTTCATTTGCTTGAGCTGGCTATGGCAGCATGCTGGTGGTGTGCTACAGGCCTCACATGACTGCAGCAGGGCCTGAACATGCCCAGTCAGTACCCATTTTCTTTCATTTCTTAATTAGTTTCGGCACTGAATGACCACTGCAGGTAGAGCCAGTCCTTTTGCTGCAGAACACAGTGCTGGATCAGCCTACTCTCCCTTTCACTTGGACTCTAGAGATGCTTCCAACACATTAGATCCAGGTTATTTTCTTTGTCTCAGCCAAACGAAAATGAGTGGAAAGGTTTCACAGGTTTAAAACTGAAATGTTACACTCTTCCTTTCTAGCTGACAAAGATAGTAGCAGTGCATGTCACCAACTGTGCCACAAAGACAACATCATCTCCATTCTGATACCAAAACATTGAAACAGAGAAACAAGTGAGGCTGTCAGCTACTCACCAGGCAATTAAAATAACACAACAGGGTAACTGTGATCACTCCTTGCCAGAGCACTCAACCTCCACATTATTTTTATGATTTATTCACTATAAAATCAAGTTACATCTCCATGATGCATGTACCAATATTAAGGAATTTAGATTGGGTTTCTCCTATATTCAATAACTATGTGAAAGTACTCATGGCAGAACATTTTTAGCTAATCTAACATGATTCATTCCCATCACGTAGGATCCTTCCTGCATGATTCCAGCAGAAACTGAGTTTGATTTCAGAAGCCCTCCTGCCCTCAGAACAAGGTCTTTAATTGCTCCTTGTGAATTGGTGCCATCAGAAGATAGATATACAAAGGCTGATTCAGTTGTTTTGCTTTTTAACTGGTGAATAATTAATTTCTGTTATATTTGTACTAAAGCTGCATCATTAATAATTTCTAATACTGTCCTTCTAGACTTGCATGTTTGATAAAAGCGGTAAAATCCAATATAGATATGCAGATAATGGTCAAATCCAAATTAACACACCAGTTTTCTAGACAAGCAAGGGACATTTCATTTTGTGACCCACTGGTTACTCCAGAACTTTGAGAAACACTGAATGTCATCTGTACATATGATTCTTTTCATTTCCTACCTCATTGAGGTCAGCATTCAAGATGAGAAATTAAAAAAATTCCTGCCTGGGACAAAACTGCCCTTATTATTCTTATTTTCTGCTAAAAAAGGCTGCAGTTTCAATTGGTGTTGGATTTTTAGCATAAATGTTAAGACAATGCAGCGAAATTCAGTTTTCATTCAGAAAAGCCAAACAAGCACAGGAAATGAGTTCCCTGCATCTCTGTCAATTATGAAAGCAATTAACAGGATACTTAGTTTTTACAAACTCACTCAGAACTCATCTGAGTGAAACAGAATTAGGACTATTAAAGGAAAACAGCCTAATGTCACAACTAGCTCTGCCTGTTGGAGGGGGGACTGAGTTACAGTCCCTAGCTGACTCAGACACTCACAAACCCTTAGGCGAGAGGGAACACACTCAGCAGCCTCTGTATTTCCATTCCCTGAGATATGGGAGGAACAAAGATGAGAAAAAGCATCCTACCTTTGTGATGAGAATCCTGTACTTCTCCACCAGGTGATCGTTGTTGTGACACCCTGCCAGCAGCTGCCACACCTCTCCCCTCAGGGCCTCGGGGACACCACTGCGCACCAGCGCCGACAGCGTCTTGGGCCTCACGCTCAGGTTCAGGTGCCTGGGGAGGAGAAGGCACTGTCACTACACCCAAACTGGGACAGCCAAGTACACCAGCAACTGCTGAGGTGGAACAGCAAACATGGCAACCGACAGCAATTTCAAGACAATGTTTCCAAGTGAAATCCAAGTTATGAAAAAAAATACATATTTTGAGAAGTATTTCCAAGCTATTTTCTTCATTCTCATTAAATTGAAATACACTATTCATACATAAAACATTCAACAAACCAAAACCCTCCAGAGATCACACTGTGTAAATTCCAGCTCCAAACTCCACCAAACGAGCACTGGTTTGCAGACTTGACTCCCACGCCAAGCAGGCAGGTAACCTTCTAGGTGAGGGAGGGACAGAGACAGGGAAGGAGAGCTATAAAAACCACCTCACATGGTTATCTAACTCCATGCCTGCATTAAAGCAGCCTCCACTGTACAAGCCAGTCCCAACCAAACAGTTCTTCCAGCGCTGACAGCTCATAAATTACAGCACAGCAAGTTGTAAAAGCTAAACCTACACATAATTTATGCAGTTACAGCAAGTTAAGCTGAACAGCTCATTTGTGGCTTTATACATAAAATCCCCCAAAGACACAGGCCTTAAATCAAAGAAATTACAATTTTTCTGCAGTTACGGAAAAACAAACTTCTGGGTAAAATGACCCAGGGAACTGACAGACAAGGCCAGGCAGAACATGGACTTGGGTCACGTTGATCTCATTATGACAGTGATAAACTGGTATTTAATTGTGTTTGCAACATTTAACAGGTTTGTGGAGGATAATTTGACCAGACTGGGACTCTTTGCTGCCTTTGTCCAGTCTATAGTGTGCTGACACAGGAATCTAGGGACTAGGAATGTGGACATGTAAATCAGTATTTACTGCACAGAATACAGTACCATCACCTACTCCTCCACTTTGCTTTCTCTGAAAGAAATCAGCTACAATAAAAATAATATTCACACAGTAGTGACATTTTTATCTATATACAGTCATACCTATAGACATATATTTATGGAGCATTTGTTATACCCTTGTATTATATAAGGATCTTTATATAAAATACTTGCCATATACAAAATAATCAAAGTTCTGCAAAGGCTTATAAAACTGCTTGGCCTTAATCTCAGATCAGAGTGAGCACCACATCAGTTCCAATGAACACAGCCATGAAAGCTGAGGACTAAAAGCCACACACTACTAGACTCTTCCAAAGTATTTTGAAATGAGCAAATCATGTGACTCAGCAGTTATGAAATATCAGCCAAATATTACTTAGAAATCACAAATACCAATGCATATTTAATTACTATACAAATCTAATTAGAGAATTCTAAAAGACTAGCATGAAACTACCTGAACTCTGATTTTTATGATTTGCAATCCTCTTACATTAAGAGCTGGAGGATCATTGCTTCCAAATGCGAGTTTTTAGTTAAGAAGGAAAGCCCTTTAACACATATTAAAGTTGTTGCCAGCATTAGCACAGAAGCACTCCACATCCTCTTAGAGCTGCCAAAACATTTCCAATGGGAGTCAGGTGGCTTAATTATCTTTGAGCCCTTGGAAGAATTACAAGAAAATTCAAGTTGAAAGCAACTTTCTCACAGCAGCAGATGTACAGAGCTCATCTGGTAAAGATGTTTCTCCCAGTCTAGGAGAGGGAAAAGTAAAATGTATCATGTTACCACTGCCTTTCCCTTCTTACAAATAGGTCCATTTCTATGTCCACTTTCTTCCCTAATTAGTGCAAAAGCAAACTGGAAGGAAAAGTACTTACTCAAATAGGTAGTAAGTGATTGCAGAAAATAATGCTGAATTGTTAAAATCTCCATTTAAAGAGATTCCTGGCTAAGTGGTCACATCAATAGTTTTCCTCATCTAAGCTACAGGATTTCCTCTCATCTCTGCTGTCCTACTCCTTAAATTTAAACACCATTCACCTTTGCTGTACACCCCTTGCCCTGCTCCTCACTAACAGTAGGAAGCAGAAGGCAACAATTAAAGCCAGGCTCAAAACAAAGCACGTTTGAGCTCAGTCTCATGTTGTCTGTCATCCCCTTTGTGGGGAAAAATAAAACCTGACACAAATCTGAATTTTGCAACAATCAGCATCACTTTAGAACTGCTCAGGCTGCTTCAAGACAAATAAAAGATCCCCCATCAAAGGAGGATGGTGTTGCATTAGCAATTGGACTGTCAAGAAGCACTCTTGTGGTACATTGGCATTTTCTAGGGAAAAATCAGCAGAGCTCATGTACTTCTTTCTTGGCAGGCTCTAGAGCCTTCCTTTAGATAAGGGAGGAAAAACATCTTTGCTATCCAAGTCCAAATCTCCCATATTCTAAGCTCCAGTCACCAAGACATGACAGCTGCAGGGAAAACTGGCTGTGAACTACAGCAGAATTACAAAGAGGAATGGGAGTGATCTGTGCAAAATAAAGACAAAGGAAGAGCTGTGTTTTCTTTATACTACTTAGTTTAAGTTTGCTTTACCAAAATCCCAGGGAGCTCACAGTTAAGACAGAACCACCTAAAGACGCAGTGTGAGTTTCTCTACATTAACCATGCCCTCAAAAATTAAAATATTTAGAACACCTTCTAAACAATCACAAAAGAGGAAGCCAGAGAGTAGGGGGTGTTCTGGGGATGATAGAGGACTCAATCCATACTAATCTTATCTCAACTGGCCTCTGGAAATAACAAAAGCTCCAAGCAGAACGAGCATATTCAGGATGTGACTTTGCCACTCACCACTTGGACAGCAGCTCTCCCCACGTCTCAAGAATTTTTTCTGCACACTCTTTGGAAACATCTCCAGAACCACTTAAGAGTGGTTCATCGTTGTCTGCCAACAGAACAAAGGGGACACTTCAGCCAAGGCCACAGGGAAGGCCAACAGAAAAAGTGAAAAAGCAGAAACTCAAGTCATATCCATTTCAGCTCAGAGCTGCAAGGCCACATGTTTATATACTCAGAACTAGTCCATGTTTTGGTTTAAAGGAATTTTTTAGAAGTAGAAAAAATGTTCTTGAAAATGCATTAAGTTTCAAGCTGGGCAGGTCCTGGGGCAGTTTCATCTCTCACAGATGTCCAGCTCCTCTCTTCACCAAAGCACACTGCCTGCTGATGCTTCCAAATAATACCAGCTTCTCATTTTTACTCTCAAGTCTGTTCACAGCTGCTCAGGGAGGGGCAGGAGTTACATGATAATCCCAAATTTTTAGCAGCCTCTTTTCACATTGTCCCAAATATATCACACTGGGGGCCTGGGCTGAGAAAAGCACAGACACAGAAGGGTCACATGAGGCAGGGGCTGACCCAGGAACACTGGGATACTGATTACTGAAGGCTCACAGCACTCGAGCAAGGAAAACCCCACAGTAGGCCAGATCCCATCAGTAGGCCAGATTCCAGCTGGAAAGGATCTGACATGTTTTGTAACTGCATTATTTCCCAACTGCCCTTTCTCTCAGAGCATACAAAGCACACAAACTGCCTCTTACCTTCCTCTTCATCATCCTCTGGAGGCGAAGGGATCATGGAGCCCTGTGAGCCCGACTGGGGCAAGCGAAGAGAGGGACTTGCTGTGGTTTTCCTTCTCTCCCTCTCTGACTCACTCTCTAGGCACACAACTTCATACAAGGTGTCCGAGTTATTCTTTCTGTCCTTCTGCTTTATCTAGGAAACAAGTTTCATTGTACTGAGAAAAGCCACACAAATGCCAGATCACTTCCCAAGGCTCTGCTTTCTCTCTCTGCAATAGGAGAGCTGAGGAACAATTTCCATCCCATTCTACAGCGAGGAATGTTCACACTTGCAGCACATTTGATGAATTGTGCAGGCCTCAAGTGTTGCTGCTGCTGAGATTTATATAGGATATAAATTCTTCCCTGTGAAGGTGCTGAGGCACTGGGACAGGCTGCCCAGAGGAGCTTGGGCTGCTCCATCCCTGGAAGTGTTCCAGGCCAGGCTGGACAGGGCTTGGAGCCTTGGAAGGTGTCCCTGCCCATGGCAGGGGGTGGCACTGGATGAGCTTTAAGGTCCTTCCAACCCAAACCACTCTGTGATTTTATGATTTTCCCACCATGGCAATTGCCTTCAGCAAAGCTTCCAACTCACATATCTGTGTATACATTGCTGCAGGAACACAAATTGTTGAGTCTCAAAGTCCACTCTGTGGCCCTGTTTCTCCTTGATTTTCAATTGATACCTTCCTTTCCTTTAAAGGAAGATTTTTCTTTGTGAAGTGGTTCTAGAATTTTAATACAGTTTAAGGACTTGGAACCTTTTTTTCCTAAATGAATAAAAATAGATAGCACAAAGGGAAGGTGAAGAAAAGAGGTAAATAAGATTTATAATTATACTCTACATTAAGCTCCCAGTGCTCAATTTTATCCTTTGGAGTATTAAAACCGAAGAGAAATGCATCAAAACTAAAAATGACTAAATCACTAAATGTAATCTGAGCAAATGAAATCCCTCTGCTTTCACCACTTCCGAATAAACACACACTGCCAGAGCAAGATAAGCCAATTCCACACAGCTGTATTTTTAATAGGCTAATCATGACTCCACAGAAACAGGCTTCCCTTCCAGCCTTATCAGGCACTGCATTCTATATTTGTTGCTTCCACTATGAATTTTGATAATCTTCCATTAGTAAACACTGGAAGTTGGATAACCTGACAGTGCCTGTGGAAAAAAGAATTGGCTAAGTCAAGTCACAATGCCTGTGAATTTGGTAAGACAAAAGATTCAGAATTAGCTCAGTCAGATAAGCTTCCTTTAAACTGCCAAACAGAAAAGGCACCTTTTGGAGGTTGTAGAATATTTATAGCCCAAGGGCCTCAACTGTTCAACATCTCCATGCTCCACCTCAAACATATCCTAAATACAAAGGCTGAGCTCATCCATGAAGAATTTTTCCTCCTTAAATTTTGAAGTTTCCAAAACATTTATTCATGTTTTACATAAAAAATAGGACATACACAAAAAAGAATCCTTAGTGAACCTCATCTGTGTTACTCCCCAGATCCCATTCTTTCTGAACACTTAGAGACAAGTGCAAAAAGAGTGAAGAAAAGCCTCTTGTTTAATTCAAAGCCTCTTTTAAATAAGAACACTTGTGAAGAAATCAGGACTCCAACCTTGCTTATTTTAGAGTTGCACCCAGAATTATCACACTTGGAGAGAGCATATACAGCACATTGTTATTTGCCTCTATACATTTCCTTTTCTGTAGACAAGACTTTAATTCCAGCACAATAACTTCTAAATCAGGACAATGTCAGCCACTTCAAGTACTTCATCTCTTTAGTGATTTGGACCTCCAACCTACCAGTCTTATTTTGGGACTAGGTTATTGCCTTGCACTGTTATTATGGATCCTGGACAGAAATAATCCTTCCCTTTTTAGTAGATAGGGTAAAAAATAAGCTGGAAAAAGCAGTAAAAATTTTTAACAAGTTCTAGGGATTCTTTTGTGGCTGCTTGGATTTTTTTTCCCCAGGGCAAACTCGGTGTGTGTGTGAAATCTCTGCTTCCAACCAAGTAGAAGGGGAAAAGAGACCTTCACAAACGAGAATTTCTCTCGGAATTTCAGGTGGATGTTTGCTCCTCAAAAAAAAAGTTAAAAAGAAATGTCCAATTTGTATGATAAAATAACTCCAGTGATATATCAATAGTATATCACCAGCATTACACTAAGGGCTGTTTTTTTCCCTCTTAACCCTTAATGTTACCCCATTACCCACTGTACCTTACACAACTCTCAGCAGAGCCCCAGTCTGCAGATAAATGCTCTGTCCCTTTTATTTCTGTGTGTTGGCTGGAAAATCCATAAGCCTCTCTGTAACTTTGCAGCCTCATCAAAGCTACCAGAAAAGCTATTTCTAGCTCTTTATGGGAACAGCAGATAGCCAGCAACAATCAGTGCAATAAAGCAGAGCTTTTCTGCAACTGAAGAGCATTTATTGTACCTCTTTGATTCAGGAGCAAAATGTTGCATTATGAACATTATATTAGTAAAGATTTTACCAATCATAGAGAGAAACAGCCTATTAACTGCCAATTTTATTTCTTTATTGTTTCAAGTATTACCTGCTTCAGTTTTAAGAAGAAATTCTCAGTGGAGCTGCGTTTGCTGAAGGGCCAGAACAGCCTCTCGTTCGGGGAACAGACCCTGACTTTAGTCTCCAGGATGAACCGAACAGGCTCCTGCACCTCAGTGATCACCAAATCCACAGCAGTTGTCATGAACAATACTTTATCTAGGGAGGAGAAATGAGGCAATAGTATTAAAAGAAGTATTTCAAACAAAATAATCCATAACCTCTTTCCTACATGAAAGAACAAAGGAAACTCTTCTTCAGAATTAATTTTTTCCCCCAGTTTAACATCTCCAAACCCTAGAAATTTCAAACCAGGGAAATCAGATGACTATGTATGACCCACTAGAGACTACAGCAACTGAAGTCTTCCAGCCAAGAAAATGATCTTGTTGAAGAGAATAAAAATTCTGCTTTTTCAAATCCCACTGAAGTGTATCCAAAACCTTCATTAAACATTAGAAAGGATCTATGCACTTAACTGCACAGTGCAGATCTCTTGCCATGCAGCATAATTACACTGCAGTTCTGGTTTGGTTTGAGAAGTTACTTAAGTGTTAAGTACCAGGATATTAAAGGCATCTAAAACCATCTCAGCTGTGACATTCTGAAAATTGCCTACACAGTTTGATGCTCCAAAAGGAGGCAACTGGGCTCAGTGACCTATGAGATCTCTCTGGTACTGCATGATGAATTGTGTCCTTTGGGCAGGATGGCATTCAATCCAGCAGCAGACTGTGCCCAGCAGCTGACTTTTATGACTTTGCCCAGTCAATTCCCATTAAATTCCCCAAGCTCTGGCATGCAACTGTGACAATAGATTGAAGAGATGATAATTTGGCTGACATCTCAAAAGAAGTAGTGACAGATCTGTTTCAGGACTCAAGAGAGCAATGCAGCATCAGCTATTTTTGGCTGACAGTTGGGAGTGGTTTATTTCATTTTCATAGGTACAGGAACCCTTCTGTTTTCATTGAAAACTTGGGGTGGGAAAAATCTGAACTGAGCAAAGTAGAAATTGCAGGAGCCATTTAGTGCAGTTGTCAATGGGATTCTTACAAAGCTCCAATGATGGACAAAGCACCTCCATCCTGTCCCCACACCTCCTGGTAGGACAAAGCTCTTACAAGGTATTGCTGAACAATTTTCTTCTAGTTGTCTATTTTTTTAGATTTTGATGTGGTATTTGGCATCCTCCTTCCTGAGAATATATCCCATACTGTGAAAGTCTTTTTGTGGGATTCATCTTAAGGGAAAAGAGAATTGATCCAATGCCCACTATGTAAGTCATTTCCCTGCCTAGGGATAACACTTGGCAACATTCATACCTTTAGGTGTTTCTTCATTCACAAACTGGAAGTGTGGAGACTTTTGATTCCAGCTCCCAGTGATCACATAGGATTTCCCATCAGAACTTTTACCCATGGACTCCTGGAAACAAGGTAAGTTTATGTATTTTTATTTAAATTACAGAAATCTCTACGTTATGAAGTCTCAGCCCCAAAACAGAGCTACTGCACTGGCAAGAGAAGGGCAAGTCCACGTGACAGTCTGTTCCAGAGATCACCTCTGCAGGAAAGAAGAGAGTTCCATGCAATCCTAGGTCTCCTTTGCTGATAAGACAAAAAGGCCACTTAATACTAATTGTTCTATGTGTACATGGTATGAACATCTGCCTAGTGAGACCTGCAGACCAGTAGTTTTGGAGGTGCCCATCTGACAGCAACTTTGAGCTCACAGAAGTGCAGGTGAGATCACAGCCAGTAACAATGTTATTTATCCATTAAGAACCAAAGCAATATTTTATCTCATGTTCAGCCTGTCTTCCCAAAAATGTTATTTTCTGGCAGTCCAAAGCCTGGTAAAAAGCAAAATTATTCATGTAGTATTGCACCTTTTTGAGTAATCCCTATTGTTAACAAGCATGTACTTCATAAATACTAGCAAGTTTGTTGTCACTTCACACTTGTGAAGTCAGATGATCTCTATCATTATTTTATAGATAGAAAAGTGAGTCACAAGAATAAAGCACCCACCAACTCTCAGTGTTATATTTGAAGTCTCTCAGGCCTCAATTCTTACACTGTATCTATGAAACTTTTCATGTTCAAAGCACAGAGCTTTAATATTCAGCACTTCTAAAAATAAGGTTCCATGTTTCTTATTTCAGGCCCCTGAGAACAGCCAGGACTGACTACAAAATTGAGCAACTCCTTTGCCCAAGCATCAGGTCACGTTCTCTGTAGCAGAGGGAGGGATTCAGCTCAGCTGCCCAGAGCCTCACCCTCAACAGTATGAGCTACAGCATCACTCCCCACCAACAAGTGTGCACGAGTGCCTAAATCTTTTCTGTTCCTCCTGAGATTATGCACAATCCTAACCAAAGTACTGAACGTAGTTAGCCAAAGCTCCTTACCAAATCCAGGAGGTGCATGTCCCCACTGCGAACATCCTTCCCACGGCTAAGGAGGAGGCCAAAACATCTGCAAGTGCAGACAAGGAAATTAAACTGCAAAAGTTAGACTTACTCATAGACAAACCATTAATGTTTCTTACCTAAATATTTGCTGTCACACATCACAAACAGCCCATGAATCCACTGACAAATGTCAACAAACCCTGACATTTGAAAGCAGCATCGAGCATGTCCAGCAAAACAATGTCAAGCCAATATGAGAAGTGTCAAGCAAGATTTCAGAAGTGTATTTACAATATGCTTTTACCCTGTTTACAGTAGCCTGGAAAGTTGTTCAATTATGTTTGTTTTCAAGAACAGTGTAGAACAGTCACTGCTAACAGTGGCTCCCTATCCTGCAGGACAACTTGGCCTGCAGTCTCCTGCCCTTCTTTTAGTTGGGTTTTCTTGAGACATACTTGCATAGCATTTACCCTTTGGTACAGTCAAGAATCAGCTGAAGTGTCTTTTATGGTTTAATTTCACAAGGAATTCTGGCTCACAGAGGTATATTCCACTTCATCCTCCAATTTACCACATTTGAGAGAGGTCTGCCTTTAAATCACACAAATGGAGTGTCCATGGAACAATTACTGATCTGCTGCCTCAGGGGAAAGAACACGAACAGAGAGACAAAGAATATTTTTTAAATTGATGAAATTACCTCTCAATAGCAAGTTCTTTATTAGTTGTCTGTTGGACGTAAATCACTATCTTCTTATCAATGCCTTGGCGGAGTTTGAAGCATTGCCTGTCCTTGTCCTTGGGAACTGCACTGTTAGTCACCAGGAAAGGAAAAAAATCCACCTCAGAGTGTTATTTTGTGACAGCAGGTGCACACCCAGGCCTGGGAATGGCAGAGATCCTTTACCTGTCAGCAGTTCAGTCTCTAGGGTGAGAACAGGGGATGTACACACTCACAGCCAAACATGCAGTCACACCTCATCTCCCCAGCGCGGCAGGAACGCACTGCCAGTGACCCAGGGTGACAGGGGAAGGGAGATGAGCCAACACTGGGTCAGGTGCATAAAGACTGAGATCAGACTGACTATGTGGAGCTGGAACTGAAACAGCTCTTAGCTGCACAACTTCTAGAAGCCATGTCACCATCAAAGCCTGGGCTGGCTGACACTCCCTGCACTGCTGGCACTGAGCTGACATTGGTACCAAGGCAGCAGCACTGAACTTCAGCTGCTGAATCACTGAGTGCTGCTGCCATGCTCCCACCTGCCACCCTCCCAGCTGCTGCTGCTGCAGCCAAGCCCAGGAACTATCAGCACCTTTCAGGCTCAGGCTCTGAGCTAAATAATTTTTCAGTTTCAACACCTGAGCAGTCCTTTGGAATGCTGAATAAATACTGGATTATTAAATGGGATTTGTTTATTTAATAACTACAACTTGAGATAGATGTAAATCCAAGGAAAGAAACATCTCTAGAGCTGTGGCTAGGAGCCAACATGCTCAACAAGTCAGAGTGTTTGGCAGACATGATGTGCTGAAATAAAGACACTTCAGCAATTACAGCACACTATAAATGGGTACATGAAACACCTAAGGGCAGTGTATAGCCCTTCTTTCATAAGACTTCATTAAAAATATGCACCCTTATGCCTCTTGCAGCATTCCCACAGCCTCTGCACCTTCGAAACCCATGCCCAGAGCTCTGGCTGGGAGAGCACAGCCACAATGATGCATCTCAGCTTCAGTAATTTCACTGAACACAAAACACATCGCACAGAAAAGGGTTTAAAGACAATTAAAAAAAAGCAAAACAGAAGAAGCACTTTGCAGGTAGCACCAGGTTCAGCTAGATAACCTGATAGTCCAGAGGGTTATCACTGGTTTACTTCCCAAAAATATTCATGTCTGGGATCCATTTAAACTAGATTAGGAAATTTTCAAAGAAAGGAATTTAGGGACCACCTCAGCCTCACTCTCTCTGTTCACTCACTTTCCAACAGAACCACATGATGCATGAATGAAGAATCTATACCTGAAATAACCTTTCCCATCATCTTCCTTGATTTCCAGTGAGACAGAGAAGGTGAAAATATCACTGTCTGGAGTCTGGGGGGTGGCAGTGGCTGACAGTGGGGTTTGTTTGGCAGAACGCCGGAAGGCAGTGGCAAAGCTGTACAGGATTCGGCTCACCTGCAGGTAAACAGCACCAAAGATCAGCTGAAACCTACCTGAACCTGCACTGAAGAACAGAATGAGGAGGATCTGGACAAAAATAATTCACTTTTAGCATCTAATTAACTGTTTTTCTATACTTTTTAGAAGGATTAACTATGAATTGTGCATTCTGAAAGCCATGAATTATGTCACTTCTGAAGTGCCTGAAACACTCCAGGTTAAATTTCAGGAGTAACACTGACATAAGACAAACAGCTGGAACTTACAGCCTCTTGGATTTCACAGCGGAAGACATGAATCCTGAAGAGTTCTGCATTGTAGTGGCTTTCAGTGAAAGCAAAGCAGTCACTTTCAGGGGTCCCATCGTGCCCTCGCACACAGAAAAGGATTTTATAGATTGGGTAATTTGCTATTTCTGTGTTTGTCTGAGGATCTAAAAGTCTGTTAAAATAGAGAGAGGGGAAAAAAAGCAAATTGTACCTTTAGAAGAATTGTTATCAGCCAGATATTAACTTGTGAGCTTTAACTATTTCATACCTGCTAGAGGAAGTGCATCACAAAAACTATCTGCTGTCATTTACTGCAAAATTCAACCACAACAATGATACTAAAACTGAACTGCATAAAAAAGTACAATGCAACAGACATTTCCACCGATAATTTCCCCATGGCTTTCAGGGATTAGTCTTCCAAAAGTTACACTACTATTCAGCAGTGGATAGACTCATCCCTGCTAAGCCTTGTGCATCAGACATTTTCCAGCCCTACAAACTACTCTCCAGGCTATTTCCAAAGGGTTCATCAACAACCACTCCCACTATGGCTTTGGGAACAGCTTGGATCATCATACACTGATCCTTAGACATAAAATGTCATCAAAGTATCACTTTCCCAGATTACTCTAAAACCCACTAAACGAAATCCCAAGTTGCTCAAGTCTCCTGCCAGGCAAACTGGCAGCTCCTTTGCTTTCAAAAGGAAACAAGACGAAATGCTCAGTCACAGAGTGCCCCAGGTGAGCTTCATACCTCACTGTTCCTTCAGAGACGTTAGGCACTGACAGAGTGACATCTAAAGAAATCTGGCACTGGCCTCGCAGGATGGACATCATGCGCAGAGCTTCCACCTCGCTCCGGGGAGCGTTCACCGAGGCACAGCCCAGGTAGGTGAGCTTGCTGAACACCACACTGTCCTCATCTGTCACCGGTGTGAAGGGGCTCAGATCCTCACAGTCTACGGCGAGACACAAAGTTCAGTGTGAGAAACAAGATAGCTTCATGTTTCTGCACACATCCCAAGGCTGGTACAGCAGTGGTTTTGGAAGAGAGGACAGTTCAGCATGTGTTGACTCTTGCATTACATACCCAGGCATTTACTGCACTAGGTGATTATAATGGCACAAACACCTGTACCTGAATTCTCTTCCCTTTCCCCACAAACAACAAGCTCATAAGACACCACCAGACATTCCCCCTTTTTTTTCCCTGACCTCCTTGGGATGGTTTCACTGGCAAACTCATTTCTGGTTTCTGGAGTCCTGCCACAGACACTGGGTTAATGGTAGAGGATGCTGAAGCTTCAAGGACAACAGGTTCCTCCCCATCTCCATCAGTTCTAACTTCTTCTCCATGGTCCCGGTCACCGGACTGATCTTCCATGGGTGGATCCATCAGCACGTCCTCAAGCTCTCGCCGCAGCTGCTGTTCGCTTCCATTCCCCACGATCTAAAAACCACAGACAAGAGATGGGACACAAAAAAGAGACTGTTCAAACAACTGAAAACACCCCTGAGGCACAGGGTTGTTCCTATAGCTTCTTCTGCCAGCCAAAGCAGCAGCTAACAGACTTAACCCAGTTACAACCGTAAACACAAACCGCAGTGTGCAAATTCTCACCAGCACAGCTCATATCCTCCCTACTTCAACAAATCAACAAGCTCAAAGCAGGAGTGCTCTAGCACTGGAAAAAGTGAGGAGATTACCAACTACAAAGACCAGCTTATGACAGAGAAACTTAGACATGTCCACAGTATGGCTACAATAATTCTTAGATTAGTACCCGAGAAGGACAAACATAATTAGATATGTTACATGGCTCACGGGTAAGACAGAAAGGTTTCACAGGAAGAGGAGAATCTGGAACAAGACTGTGCCACCATGCTGAGGAGAAGAACAGCACTGTTTTATTTCCTCACACATCTGCAGCCTGACTTTGTGCTCATTGAAGTCAACATGAAAGCATGAAGCAATCTAAACAGTGTGAAATCAGGTCTTAAGCTAGACAGAGAACGAAGACATTCATTTCAGGAAATTCCCAGATACTGTATCTAAGGAAACTCTTTGTCCATTCCTCTGCAATTAACAAGGAAATGGCCAATGCTTTACACGGTTTAGAAATTAAGCATGGAAATGGACTTTAAAGCATTTTACCAGATGCCATCAGCAAAGGGTATTCAATTCCAGCACTTCAGCTGCTGCTGGTTATTGCTGCTGACACCAAACCTCCACCCCAGGCGCAGATATGTGCTTCTATATCCTTACTTCTCTGTAAGTGACTTCAGACACTACATGCAAGCTAATAACATCCAAATTATGCAACGACCCCAAAAGGCAATAACCTAGTGACTGTTTTGCTACAGAACCTAAACAATAACAAAGTATCAGAGACATTTATACTCTTGAAGCCCAAGCTCAGACAGAAGGTAATTATTTTGTATGGATTAAAATACACTCCTGTGCTGTCTGGGATCATCTGACAGGAGCAGGACAGAGTCACTACCTTACTTAGCTGTACATCCACAGAAGTATCTGTAACCTGTAACCAGTTACAGGAATCCACAAATTTACATTTTCCTCCCAATAATTGTAGTATTCCATTTGCATGACCCACTGTGGATACAATGAAAAACCTTGCACAAGCATGAGGCCATCAAAGGCATAAAGCTTTTAACTATCAAGTTTATTATTCAGGTCTCTGCAGGCATTCACCAGAAAGATGATGATGATGGAAGATGCACCACGTTACTGTATGGAGTTTATGTGTTTTGCAACAAAATATAACGAGTTCATTGTAACATCCTGTCAGGCCCTTTAAAGCCTATAAAACACCCTAAAGTAACTTCCAGTTCACAGGACCTGTTCTCCATGAAACCTGAAGCTGAAATTCATTCTGGCAAAAACCTGCATCTGAAATGCTTTTGCTCACAGACATTAAACAGATTTCAGTTTGGGAAAGGAAGGTGAAAAATTCATATCCAGTAAGAATTAAATGTTGTAATGGTATTAATATAAAATGCACGTGAAAAATGTTCTACTCCACCAAGATTAAAAGCCAGAAAAGTCTGAATGATCATGTACTGTACTTGGCAAAATAATCAGCATGAATAACATATCTAGGTACTGCCCTATAAAACATTATCTTGAAAATAAAGTTTCCTAAAGATAGTAGTGACAACTAAAACACAAATCCAAGTTGTTCAGAGTGTGACAGGAAATAGGCATGTAAAGAGAAAAATAATCCTTCTCATAGATATTCTAAAACCTCATCATCAAACCTTCATTTAAAAAGCAATTTACAAGAACCTCTCCAAGAAAGCCTCAGCCCAGACTACCCTCAGAAAGAGTTCCAAAAGACACACAAGTACAGTGGTGCATTAGAGGAGCCCTGCTGTTCCCAGAGCCACAGACAGCAACTGCAGCAAACCAGCTGCCAGTGAAACAAGGCCTGAGATACAAACTCATTTCATGTCAGCTGAAGCCTTTTATGCAACCATATAAATTCACATCATGGAGACCTTGCTGCAACCCAAATCCCAGAATGGGGCAGCATGACTGAGTGCAGCAGAGCCAAGGGCAGAAGGCAAAAACGAACAAGGTGCACCTAATAAATGCTCCATGTACATTTGCCTGAGACAGAGCAAAGAAACCATTTACCCTAATCATGACTTTCTCCATTTCTCACAAAACTGAGAACTAGTTTTACTTAACCTTTAACTAGGATGCAGCAAACTCCCTTGGGAGCAACAGGGATTTATCAGAGCTGCAATTTATTCCCTGCTCCTGACGCACAGGCCTGTGCTGGGAGAGGGCTCACTGTACTGGGTGATTCAAGGGCTCCTGTTCTACACTGTGCTTCACATGCAAAGCTTTCCTATGTCCAGTCCAGTCCCATTGCCAGTGGGAAAAAGCAGACATAGAAACAATACTGGAAAGCAGAAACAGCTAACAAAGTGTATTTCTGGAAAATAATCGATGACAGTCCCTTTTTAAATGAAGCCAAATATTTCAGGACTGACAAAAAGCAAAACCACATTTATAAATTAAGACCAACTGAAGAAAAATACAGCTCCTGATTGTATTCAGGAGAAATAGTTCTCTGTCTGGACTTGTGGAAAGAAAAAAAAAACCAAACAAAACTTACATTAATTCAGTCCCCAGCATTAATACTTAAAACTGCAGCATATCAGCAGATTTGAAACAAGAGCCTCAGGCCCCATGTACACATTTCACAGCCTGTCACATTGAGCAAACACAAGCCTAAACTTCCAGCATCATCCTCAGACTGTGCTCGTTAGCAAATTAAACAGCCTCAAACTGCTTTTCTAAAGGAACAGAACACCAGGAAGAGACATCTGCTCCAGTATGAACCTGAACTCATTTTCTGCTTTTCTTAGAGGGCACATCAAAGCCAATAGGGTTTGACAAATACAAATTAACTTAGCTATAAGTACCTAAGCAATTGCTACTGCCTGAAAAATATCATCTCATTTGTTCCTCTGAAATACATAACCTCAGTTCTCATCTTGTACTGTTAACATTAATTTTTCATATACTACTGAAACACTTTTAGATATCACAGACAATACTTTTAACACACCTCTGACAACCTTCACTACTCCACTTAACTGGCTACTAAATGACTATGTGCAAGCTGAGGAAAAAAACTAGAAAGAACAAAGCCATATGCCATGGCAGAATGTCTCTTTTCTTGTAGAACACTACCAGAATTTCTGTCCCTAAGAACAGCTAGAAAGTCTTCCCATTTCCTCTGTTAAAAGTCTTCACCTCCTTGAACAGAAGGAAGGAGGTTAACAGGAAGGTCCCTATGTGGGAGAATTTAGACTGTGCACTGAGTGCTTGTTTCAGGTATAAAATTCTCACTAATCATTCAATTTGCAAACAATAACCAAGAGCACATGTTCTCAGTGCTGGAATACTGAAAGGCTCAAGGTGAATCACTTTGTTCAAGGATTGTGCTCAAGTCTTGGCACCAAATTCACAAAGAAGCTTATCTTTAAGACCTGCAAAGCTCTGTGACATTCGGTGCCAAAGCAGGGAACAGTGTAACTTCACAGCTGGTGATGGTCAGGAGGCAGCAGCACTCGTGTTCTTGCTTCCCCATCAAGAGAAACAGCACCTGTAGCCAGCATTTTATAAACCCCTTTGGAAACATACAGCAATATAAATAGCTCCCATGTGGAGCAAGAAGTGTTGCAGACTATGGCATTTCACGCTTCCAAATTTTCTTTGGAAATAACTGGATGGAATGGAAAATCTGGTTGACAGTGTCTGTCTACTGGGGTCTCAAAAGATGCTGCAGGGGGTAATTACACACACTGCCACAGAAGCATTCTCAAAGTAGGCACCACTGAGGAGGCTGTTCTGAACTGTTCAGTGTTTATAGCTGCTGGTATTTGCAGCATCTAGAAAGACAAGCTGGGCCTTTCAGCAGGTGTCACAGATTACCAGGCGCACTGCTCTAGAGATTTTCACACTTTTTACACTATCCTATGATGAGAAGTGGCAACCTTCTGCCACAACCATCAAACAGAAGTGAACATTCTTGCCAGATTAAGCGAAAGATCAATCTTGAGACTCTTAACTGAGAGAATTAGCTCGAAGCCATATGTAAAAGAAAGGAGTCACCATAAGGTCACGTCTTGTCCAGGGGTCAGAGGAAGGCAAGAAAAACAAAGAAAGCACTTGGGAGGTAAAAGCCAGATGAGCAAAAGCATCAAGAAATGTTCAATGTCTGTTACAACTGCTGCTAAGGAGAAGAGCAGCACCCAGTCCAACAGGCAGAACATGCCATTTCTTATCATCTTTAAAGACATCAATATCTTTAAAGACACAGATGCAGCAGCAGGCATCAGTCTCTTCAGCAGTGGAGCATCTCTCTCCATCTCCCAGAAAGAACATACTAACTTCACTCACACTAGGAAAGATTCAGTTTTTCAACACATTCACATGATGGAATTTGCAGTGACTACCCACTTGTGCCATGTTGCTTAAAGGCTCCTGAAATACAAATTGGGACCAAAGTTGCTTTAAGTAGCCAAAAAAAACTCACGTGGAGAGTGACAAGGGTCTCTTATCAAGCAGGACTTCGATGGGTGAGGCGACGTCAGTGACCTTCCAGTTCTCACACGCCTTCCACACAAACTTGTGTGCTCTGATTCATGCCAAGTTGTTAGTTTTAACTACACTTCTACATTTCTTAAAGAGAACATTTCACATTGGGGAAAACTTTACCTTTGAATTAACAGATACGGTCAAATCAAGTGAATGCTAATATTACTCTCTATCAGAAAGCTGTGACAAAAGCACAGTTCCAAGTTCTTGACAGTCTGTTTCAGCCTAAGCACTTCACGAAGGATTCTGCAGAGTGGGAAAAAACCCACAGGTAGTGATGGAGAGAGCTCTTACTCAAAACCTAATGGCCACCTCTGACATCAGCCATGCAGAATTTACTGGCAAAATTGATTCTTGAATAAGTTCTCCCTTCTGTCAAGTTTTCCACAATAAAGAAGTCCCTCTTTAAGCTCTCTATGGTTAGTTTGAGTTAGAAGAACAGGGAACAAACTCAGGTTATGGATTCTTACCTTCAGTCCTGTTTTTTCATCATCACTACCATTATTTGTAGATGGTGTTTCATCCCCTTGCCTGGAAACCAAGACAAAATCTTCACTGTTAAGAGTGGATACCGAGTCTGAAGAGACACTGATTTTTCCAACAGAAGCCTTGTCATCCATGACTTAAAAAGGAAGTTCGATTCATGAATGAGATTAAATATGTTATAAATGCCTGAAAAACAAAAATCATAAAAATACTTATATAAAACTTCATGCTAAAATACTCAAATGTTTCTTTTCAGAAACCTGCTGACTAGTTATAATGCACAACTCATGTGACAGCACACCTAGGGGACAACTCCTCTGCCAGTGGACACTCGTGGTCCTGCCTGGGCTTGGCTAAGCTGCACTGCTGTTACAGCTCTGGTTTCCACAGCTCACAAGAGGGAAGCTAACAAAGCTTCTTGCAGTATTTCATGGTTATGTCAGGCACCACCTTCTACACATCACACAACACAGGCCTGCAGAACATCCACTACACCTGCTGACAGCTATGGCCAGGACTGTACAGCCCGTTTACTGTCTTCACCTATGGTCATGCGAAAATTACTTCTGTAGCTATGAGAGCTCACAGCTGCACTCACGTTCTTTACCCCCAAACAGGAGTTTGATCTAACTCCTGATATTTTGTGACAAGGATGCTCTAAAATCATGGGACATAGAGCATCTCATGAATCTATGCTGAATCTTCTGTACTATAAGGAACAATAAAAGCAAAGACTTCCAAGAAGCAGGAAGAACAGCGTAGGCTGGATCAGTACCGAGAATCAGAGCCAACAGAGGATTTTAAAAGGCTGGAACTGGCACTGAGAGGCATTGGAAGCAAGGAACAAAAGGTGAAGTTCAGCTGCACACCTTGAACTCTACAGCAGATTCCCAGAATCCATGGCTTAAAACAGATGCCATGATAAAAACGGGGGATCCAATTTCCCAGAAACCCAAATATACCCTTATCACTATGGCTTGCGTACATACTCCCAACCATGACCAGACTCAAGTGCTTTTTCAGCCTCAAGTTCCACCTCCCATCTGGTGGAGACTGTCCCACCGTGGCTTCCAGCAGCGCAGCCGAAGAGCAGAGCCCTGGCACAGGCACCGCGGCTCAGGCTCATCACATTCCTCTCGAACCCAGAACAATGCACCCGAAATAGCAACGCCTGCTTTTATTTCTATCACTGCCCTTCCCTCCACAGCCACCAATGCAGCATGAAATCTGCCAGGAGGACAGTTTTTTGCCCCCTCTGGGTTATTTTTAGCTGATTACCGATGGAGTCGCTTCGTGGTCCTGAAACATGTTTCACTGGACAATGGAAGCAGAGCATGAGAGGAAGAATGGATGTGGTTTGTTCATGAATGACAACACACCTGTGATTATATGGGTTATATCCTAAAGGTAGGGCAAAGTTCTTATTTTTGAAGATGATTTTGTTTCAAGAATTCATATTCAAATGTTTCATATTAAAACATTTCTTCACAGAAGTTCCCTGTTACACCATGTAACACACAGATACCTGAAAACATCTAAATCAAATACCTTGAAACGCAGACTAAAAATAAGCTTCAAACACTAACCACCCCTTTGGCTTTACTGTTTTCATTCAAACAGAGCAAACTCATCTGCCACCCTGACAGCAAAGAGCAGGCTTTGATCACAAGCAGCTGGAAAGACCATCTAGGCAAGGATCAATCTAGCACTTTATTTTGGCAGCCTGTCTGTCTTGAAGTGCTAATTTCACCTATTTCCCAAGTCTCTCAATCTGACACCTTTCACCACCACTGCCCTCACTCCAGTAACCAACATGACCTGCTTCTGCACACTGCTGGTTTGTGTGTCATGGTGTAAACAAGCCCCACTGGCTGCTGGGGCACAGCTGGCCCAGCCTGACCCCACAGCAGTGTCACAACACACAATTGCCACAGCATAAGATCCCAGTCAACCCGACTTTGCCAAGTTACAGTGAGAAAAAGCCTCACTGAAATTACACAAGGTAGGAGAGCACAGGAAAGGGGACAATGCAGCGGGTGAGTGTAAGGAGCTTTTGTTTGTTTGTGAGGTAGGAGCAAGCAAAGCTCAATTGCCCAACTGCACCAGAACCACCACAGAGGCTCATCGGATTAATGCTCAAACAGTCAAGGTGCAATGTAGTCTTAAGGTACCGAAACATTGCCCAAAGTTAACCAGAATTCCTATATCCTCACAGTTTGCTTGTGTTTTATTTCCTCCATTCCATACAGATTAACACACCAATCACTTTACCCGAATCAGAAAACTGACAGTGGCAGAATTACCACCAGAAAGCCTACGAGCTCATTACAGTATGGGCACACATCAAGGACCAGCAGAGCAACTACATGTGGCTTATGACTCCTCTGAAATCAAACTCCAAGAACAAACAACAGCAGTGACAGTGCTCTTTGGTAACACCTGCACCTTGTCTCAGAACCAAAGCTTTCTGCTCTCCCAGCTTAGAGAGGCAGGAGGGAAGACCCAGTCAAACACAGATCTCGAGTTTAATGTTCCTCAGAAGGAGCCAATGTCTCCTACTTCACAAGCAAAGAGACTTTGGTTTGCTTCAACATGAATAAAGTATGAGCTTTTGAATTCAGCATGCTTTAGTTCCTGACACAAAACTACACCAATGTCGTACCTCCCTGAAGGTGTCTTTACACCTCTATGGCAGACACAGCGTCTGGGTAAAATGCATAGGAACAGGCAAACTTTTACCAACCTCTTTTGCTGCTCACCTGTGTCATTAAATGGGTGTTCTGGTCTTCCCTCACACACAGACTGTTAGAAAAAGCTGCAAAATTAGTCAACACAGCTGGGTCCCAGGTCACTACTTTTATTTAGAATTCTTATTCTCAGTGCAATTCCCCTTCACTGCTGTGACAACAGCATTTACCTTACTCTCCCTATTCAAGATAAGGGGCAAAGGAACAGCAAAGACACCATTCACCACGCTACAATCTCAAACAACTGGAAAAACACCCTACCGGATTAGTTACGCAGATTGATAAAATATTTATCCTTTACTTCCTCAGCCTTTCCCAAATATTTGGCACCTGAACTGCAACTTGTGATCAAAGTTTTTCTTACAAGTACTGCCAGGATGAATTTAAAAGAGCTTAAAGCAAACAGTATAGAAAAAAAGCCCCAAACAAAACCAGAAAAACTTCCATTTCACGTTACTGTGTGAGACTGAGGCTTGAATGCCACCTTGAGACACGTGTGACAAGTGAATACCTGGCCTCACTCCATTGCCAAGGGACACCTGTTTTCTGGGGCTTAGAACATTCACAGCCACACAAAAAACCCCTGAGGGTGAACGGAAAAATCAATCTTTTGGCCATGAACCTCTTGGACCTTTGAGTCAACAGCAGATGTAACACTGAATTTACAGGGAAATACAACACAAAATATACTTAAGTTCTGGGTTTCCAGGACAGAAAAGGGAGTAAGTAAGCTAAGGAGGAAATGAGATTTTTTTTCCCCCATTCATATTTTTCTCATCTTTTGCACTTCAGCTGCAGTTCCCAGAGTGATTCCACGATGTTCCGGGATATCTGATGCAGAATGCACTAGCTATAGAACAACAATACGATGACATTAACTAAAGTACCAAAGAACAGTGTAATTCAAGAGCTGCCTTGAAAAGCAAAGACAGAAAGCTTGGCAGGCAAAATAAACATATCCTCTAACCCCAAAATACTACAACACTAGGTAGAGTGTTAAAGAACATGGAAAACAAGGAGGTGGCATTCAGCAAAGACACTGAGGTGACTGAAATACATAAATATAATGTATTTCCAATTTCAACACACAACATTCTGCCTTCCGAGTGTTCAGCATCAGCATCTCAGTGTGGGTGAACAGTGGAATGTGTAGCAGAGCTCAGACCTTTACAGTGCACTTTGCATGTGTATGCCAAAGAATCCAACATCCCTTAGGACTCTGAGCTCTCACAGCCTTTGACATCTGAGATTTTTGTACCAGTGCAATTCATCTAGTGCATGCTTGTTGTACAAATACACAGAGTCCTGATAAAAAAGCCTGGAAAATGCTACAGAACAATGCTGTCATTCCAGGAGGTTGTGCCAGGTGTTTCAGTCTGAGCAGCACAAGAAATACATGAGCAGAAGTGACACCACAGACATGTGGAGGAGCTGTGGTTTGACTTTCTGCACACAGACATATTGTCTGTGTTTTACCACAGCTTTGGGAGAAGAAACAACATGCAAGAAAGATCAATCACCGGCAACCTTCTTCTTCTCACACATCCCATGATTAGCCTGTTTAATCATGTGTGATCTTTACCCACCTTCCCTGTGCAACACATTCTCAAAAGCAATGAGAAGCACTCGGCCCTCAAAATGAAGCAGGAAAGCCAGAGGAATACTGCACGTGAAAACATGGATTCAGGATGACTAAAGAGTAATTAATAAAAAACTCAAACTTTTCTGTTTATTTTACAACACACTGACAGCCACAGATGTGCCTACAAGCTTCAAGAACCAGAAAGAAAAGGTAGCATTATTTGGAGATAATGCTGTCTCCAATTTCACCTTCCTCCTCACAGATCTCAGGAAGCTCAGTGAATCATGAGACATTGTATGCAAACCCAGGCATAACACAGGAATTAAGCTAATGCAATCATTGTTAACAATCCTAACAGGTTCATAACTATTGCCAACATCATTCTGCTTTTAATCTTAATTTGAACTATCTGCTCAGAGGACAAAACTCTAATTTTAGGGCTAATTTAAGCAAATTCCCCATCCCAGCAACATAAAGCCAGTCCTGGGAAACTGTGGTTTATAAAAGAAATGCTGACAGTGCCTTAGCCAGCCCAGCACAGGAATGTCACTGGAATGAATTAACTGTGAGCAGTTGGTTCATCCACACAGAGGCTGATGCTCTCCCAGCACCAGGCACATCCCTGTGCTGTCTGCCCAGGGAGCTGGGACAGGCAGGACACAGCCTGGGCTGGAGGCTAGGGTAAAGGCAGGGCAGCCAGAGGCTACACAAACTCTGGGGATGATGCTGTAGAGCCCCTCTATCATTAGGACTCAAATAGAACCAGGCAGTTATGCTCACCAGACAACCAGAATGCTTAAAATAAAACCACTATGAAAGAACTGAGAAGGAAGGAGTTACACTCAGTGTGTGCT